GTACTCAGTGCTAGGACCTGCATATCTTTACTCCGTATACTCCGTAGGTAGGTATGTACCATGCCAGTTGATGCTCAAACAGATCAGAGCTCTGCTCAGAGAGCTGATCAGTGCACCTCCCTGGCCATAAATACGATGTCATAAGGACTTGGTCCATGTGCACATGGCCGCTGCACTTTTATGCGAATTCTAACGCCGTCGACGCCTCGCTCTGTACGCCCTCATTTGAGGGAGTGGTTTGACCATCTCTTCAACGTATTTCCCTGCTCCACCTGCCTTCTCCCGGATTCAGAGGATGAAATATTTTCTGGTTCTCCGTTCTGCCATACAGTTGTCCGGGGCACGCGAGAAATGACGACAAAATCATATCTCGTTGGGTCGATTGTGAAGCGTTGAGGATTTGTAGATGGCAATTACGTTGCCTCTTTGTGCTTTGAAGATGACCAGCTTCGCTCTGCCATTCAGACTGGTCTTTGCTTTCTTCTCTGATAGCTGCGCCTTGACCGTTGGCAATTCAAAGACTCAAGCGGTCTAAGCTGCGAACTCTTCTTCCTGTTCCACCTGTTACCAAGCCAAGTTTATAAAAGGTCTCTTCGCCCGCTGCATTCCGGCCGCCGATATACCACTTTTCCGGACCAACGGCATCAATGAAGCCCCCCGACGCATTGGAGCTGTCGCTGCCACGTCTTTGTCGCCCTCTTGTCATCGGTGTGGACGTGCCGGGAGGTGACATTGATAGATTGGTGGTTGTATGCGTTCCATGAGGACCGGGCGAACTCGTCCCTGGCGACTTGGACATAGGTGGTGCGTATCGATGTGAACTTGGGTTAGATGAGAAAGGGAGAGGTGTTGTTGAGTTGGGTTTGGACTGCACTTGCTGTGATGAGGGGGTTGAGGCTTCTCCCGGACCTTTTGTGGCTATTGTTCTTGTACTTGACGAGGTGACTGTTGCTGTGGTCGTAGAAACATGTGCGGCTGCCACAAGCGAACCGGGCGACACGGCATCGTAGGTTGAGCTGGATTTTGCCTGGAACGCCGGGCTCGTACGGGCTCGAAAGGCCGAAAAGAAATTGGCGAAGAACGGTCGGTTGGTAGGCATGGTGTCTACAGACTTTGCTCTCGAGCTGGCGATGTCGGATGGTAGATCAGAAATGTCGTTGACGGTTTGTCGACGCACCCAGGGTCAAGACCTTAAAAAGAGTGACCCGATGCTCAGTAACCGATTAGGAATTGGTGAACGTAGGCTGCGATAGGCCTGGACGTGCCTGTCCCTGTACACTGTAGACGCCCTTCACCCGCACTCTTCCGTGAGGTCCCTCCGCACTCTTAACCCTCTTTTGTTTGAGCTCTCCGCAAGAAGACCATGTGTATCTCTTATTGATCAGACTAGCGTACCCTGACCGTCCTGGGTTGGGTTCGAAATCGTGGAGCGACAACTCAACAGCGGGCGGCGCAGCCGGATATTATTATGGTAGGGCCAAGTTCGGTAGGAATTTCCGAGATGCAGCAGGGCTGAGCCAGACAAGAAGCGGAGATCCTGGGTTTCGGTGAAGAGATGAAACTGGGCAGGCGATCGAGGGTGAAACTGAGGAGGCGCAAAGTACGGGAACTTGGAGTATGTCAGAGAAGATAGAACACTTTCTTGAAGATGTGAATCACGGCCGAAGGAGGAGTAGGTTTCAAGAAGCAATATCGTCACCTGCAGACAGTGGGAATGCTCGGCCTGCGATCCATCATCCCTCATCGGGCGATGATGGAGGCGAGGAACAAACCGGGAGTTTGGAAGCGAAGTAACAACAAGCGGACTGAGTTGCAATTAGATCCAGTGTCATTGGTGAAGCCCTGTGGCTCTCCACCTGTTCATCCCTCGGCTTTACTTTCAACCCACATTTCTGCCTCTCTATCCACGCACCTCTCTGCCGTTTCAGTCAACAACCAGAGCGATCAGTATCACGAGCGAGAAACGATCCCCCTGCATTTTCTGAAGCAAAGGAATTTTGTCACTAGATAAAAATCAACTGCGTTTGTAGGCGAGGCTTGGCCATGACACATTGCTGTCTTTCATGTGCCCCCAATATCAGGCCAGGCCACAAATAGAATCATGCTATGCTAATCCCATGCTAACCACATATTCCCCCAGGAATGAGACTGAGGATTCATCCTCTGAGGTGTAAGTGTCGGTACACATACACCACAACACGTCCTAGGCAGCGACAATGCGCAATTCAAGCCAAGGTACTCTCATTCAATCTCATCTGGCGTCGTCAGTGTCATCTACACATCCGCTTTCATGGACATCTTTCCCAGCCTACTTTGCCGCACGCCATAAGCAAGGGCCAAAGTACAAATATTCACAACATCCGTTCATCAGCTGATTCGAGCGCGTGCTTTTCAGTATCTGAGCCCCGGAGCGGTTCAGGGCAATGACAGCGAGGGATGACAAGTAAATTTGCCATCTCGTGGACTCTCAGCGGCGTACCGTCGTCTAGTCGTCGTCCTCATGGTCAAACTCGAGTATCTGACTCAGGGTTAGCCCAGTATGAGATAGGGTATCGATGTGGAGGATCACCATATTATTCCAATTTCCACCATGAGATGTCACTGTACTTGGTCCCATGTTTTCAAATCCAAGTCCTTTGTAGAATGGAACGAGATGATCGTGGGCAAGTAGAGCTATCCGGTCTGCGATCTTGGCATCTTTCATACGTTGGATGTATGATTTCATCAAGATCGAACCCAGACCCATTCTCTGAAACTCGGGTGCCACTGCCACAGAATGAACACAGATAGTTCCACCCATATCTTGATGGCCAACGGGCTCCTTATCGGTGTTGGTTGGTAGCGATGATCTCCTGGTCCTCCAGTTTGAGGGCACGCCCATCGAAGCCTCAGTAACACAGGGTGCCGGAGTTCTGGTCGAAACTACATGGGCTATTAAGCGTCGCAGAGGCGGTGTTGACGAGTCCTTCAACTCTGCTTTGGTTGGCTGGGTGAACAGCCCTAAACTCAACTCGGGACACCTGGTCAGACGGTATTGAAACTGGGTACAGGCCATTGTCAGCGGAATGACCAAGTATCGGCATAAAAAAGTACTTCAGGTAGTATGGCTCGCATGAGGACGAGGCTTGTTTTAGCCATACCTTTTCTCGAGTTGCCCTTTCCTCTGGTGGAAAAGCCGCCTCCTCAAGTGAGGTGCACTGGTCCACACTTGATATAGACAAAGCCTGGTTTTCAGGATGAAGACGATCCCATTTGTGTGAAGAGCCCCGTCGACGTGCCCCCAACCGCCCAGTCAGCATGTTCAATAAAGGGTGGTTGGCCATGAAATCACGGTCGTCCTCCTCAGACTCGTCTTCTTCCTCCGGATTCTCCTCAGCCTTGTCGGAATGACTAATCCGCTGTAACTCTAAAGGGTCAGACGATGGTTTCGAGGGTGGAGCGACAGCATCCGAGTCACTGTCTTGCATTTCCACGTCCTCGGGATGGATGTCGATGAAGCCATCTTCGTTTTGTGAGTGCTGACCGCTTCTGGAGTCGACCTTGGCGGACCTTGGCTTTATTGATTTCTCTAATTGGCTCGATGGATCCTGGTTTGGCGCCATTTTTACTGGTTCAGAGCAGTTATCAACCGGATAAACAGGCGACTTCTACTGTGAGATGCCGTTCGAGGGAGGATTGGACAGCAACTGAATTCGCGCCGGTTGGCTGGCAGATGACTTGGCTGTTTGATTGGGAAGCTCCAAGAACGCGCCGTCATAAGACTGCAGGCGAAACAAAAATGTAGAGAGAGTGAGAAAAAGCTCCAAGAAATGGTGTGAGGTGAAAATTCAAATTCCAACTGACCTTACACGGACTTGTCAAGGGGGCAGATGAAGAATGGTACAATCGTTATGTCAAGATTGCCAGTGCAACTGAAGAGGGATAACCTCTAGAGATTGATTCAGACAACTCGATTAATGGAGAAGCTGAAGTGTCAAAAAGTAGTGCGACTGGCTCAGTAGTACAAGTAGTTAGAAGTGAGATGAAGAAATTGCCATGGCACATGGCACGCGACTCTCCCTAAGGCAGTCAAGGCAGGTGGGCAATGAGGCACCGTGGGCGCCTTCCGAGGGGCTGACGGGCGCGAGTGGCTCTCTTGCTCCTCCCACTCTAGCAGGAATACAGGCGATGCAGGCACACAGTGGGGGTTACAACGGGGGCACAGGGGTGTCTAGACCCCTACAAGCCTTCTGTATCTATGTACGAGGTACCTAGGTAGGTAAGTTTTACCTGTGAGCAAGTAATAATAAATTCTCCACACCCGATCTGCAAGCTACAGCTAGGACCCAAGTACCCCAGAACATATTAAAAATATAAGAGGATTCTCATTCTATCTATTGGCATCAACAAGGCACGGACCATCCGACTCCTAGGTGCCTAGATACCGTATGCACGACGTACCTGAATTAGATTTCGCTCTGGTAGGGTCTGGACTGTGCTTGATACGTACCTAGCTACATACCCTCTACCCCGCCATGCCGCCCAAGGGTTTGCTTACAACTAAATACAAGGTAATTATCGAGTATGCTTGAATGCAGTGGCTCTTCCACTTGGAGTCTTGTCTGGATACAGCAAGTGAAGCGGCCTGGCCACCCCGGGTGCGTCATCGCAAATATGCCTAAGCGGTTCATTATTCTGCATCTCATCCACAGGGCAATATTTTGTTCTTTACAACGTCTTCACCTTTTCTGTGCCACAGGGTAATTCTTTCTCTTATCTTTGCGTTGGATTCAGCTCGTCCCTGTCTTGTTCCAAGAGACGTTTGAGAGCCCACCCCAGTCTCACATCACACCTGATACACCTTGTCTTAAGATTCAACCACCATCATGTAGGTGCAAGCCATCCGGTGATATTGTCACCGCTGTTCTGGACTGACTTTCCGCAGGCGCACATCCATAACCATTGTATCCTCTGACAGAGAGCTACCAGTAGATCTCATCACTCTCGATGTGGGCCCCGATATGACCCTGAATGACATCAAAGCCTTCGTCGAAGCTGAGATTGGGGTTCCTCCATCTGCCCAAATATTCTTAAGAGATGGGATGGCAGTCACAAACACTTCCATGACGCTTGCACAGTTTAACGTCCAGGAAGGTGGTATAATACCGATGGCAATCCAGGCCAATCCTCCAAGACGACGAACCGCTCAAGGTACATCCAGTGGCCAACCCTCAACGGAGAGGGCTAGAAACTTCAACCACTCTGAGCCATTGCGATCCCGGATATTAGGGGACCCTGCCATCATGGCCGATTTTCGGAGACAAGATCCCGAACTTGCAGCTGCCGCTCAGGATCAAGAGAGATTCCACGATCTACTACAAGAGAGGCTGAGGCAAAACGAGCAGATGCAGAGAGAGAAAGAAGAGCAGATTGCGCTTCTAGAGGCGGATCCTTTCAATGTTGATGCACAACAGAAAATTGAAGAAATGATACGGCAAGAACGTGTCGCAGAAAACCTACAGAAGGCAATGGAAGAGTTTCCGGAAGGTAAGTCAGAGATCTACTCCCCGGCCGACCTAGCCTGACGCTCGTCTTTTATAGCATTCGGCAAGGTCACCATGCTCTATATCGATGTCATCGTCAACGGCCATCCCATCAAAGCTTTCGTAGACTCAGGAGCACAAACGACCATCATGTCCCCGTCAGCTGCCGAACGGTGTGGCATCCTCCGGCTGGTCGACAAACGATTTGGGGGTATTGCAAAAGGTGTAGGTACCGCCCAAATATTGGGTCGAGTTCATTCGGCCGAAATCGAAATTGGACAGTACAACCTCGCCAGCAGCTTCACAGTCATGGAAGGCAAAGATGTAGACCTGCTACTAGGGCTTGACATGCTCAAGCGGCATCAGATGTGCATCGATCTGAAGAAAAAACTGTCTCCGCATTGAAAAACG